TGTCTATTTATACGTTTTCAATTCATTCGAGTTTCTTTCACTGAGATGTTTTAAAAATAAGAAAAAGCCAGAGTAGTTTTTGGAATAGTCAACTAAAACAATCTGCAATTTTCTGTGTGTCGGTACTTTTGATGACCATTACAATTGAAATTGTAGATAGATATAAGTGTTAATGATCTCTCCTGGAAAATTGGCAGCTGACTTTGTGCTCATAAGTTCGCTTTCCTTTCATAGGACAATTCTTCCACATTGCTGTTTTCCGAACTTAACACCAATATCTCGCGGAGAAGCAAAATTTTTCATCACTTCTCACTTTTATTTCCTATGCTGCTCTACCGTAATTAAGATAGGTGTTTTTGATAGATTCTTGCCGTCGTAAAAACAGCTGGAATATTTAAGTGAGAATCATTTGACTCCAAAAAGACATTTTCTGCTCTTTTGTGACTATATTCAAACATTGCAATATGTGTTATAATAGAACATCGCGCTCGTTGATATTTAAGCACGTACATCGTGAAGCTTTTTCGAGTCACGAAGTTGAGTATGCTAGAGAAAGCCTGGGCCCACTGATTTCGTAAAACCGTGGTTTAGGTTAGACCTCGTGTAAATAACCGGCCCTAAGATTTTTAAAAAGACGTGGTTTAAATGCTGTGTTGCAAAATTATAACTTCAGCGTTTTCCCCAACCCAAGTGTACCACCAGACAGCTGTCCAAATATAGTATCACCCGACAGCCAAGAGCATCTTGAGGTAACATCTCAAGTATCAGAGGACTGCGTGGAACTTTTTTGCGGGTGTGACCCTCGGTATAAGTGGTACGATATCGAAGGAAAAGGTATTTTTTTGTCTCGACGCGAACCATGTTACCACAGGTTGCCCAGGCTCTTTCACGTACAGGCTCTTTCACAGTGATTATAGAGTTTGTATAGTGGTTTAGTTGGACTCGCTTTTGAGCTCCGTAAATATAAAATTGTGTAAAATAATCAAAGAAATAAAGTCTTAGCTTCATACAGAGTAGTCTCTGCTGTCCTTCTCGCGATTTCAGGCCGTTTTGTTGAGTTTCAGCTTAACGTCCTACCACTACTAAAGAAGAGGGAAGGTAGGAAAGCTCTGTCTCACACACGCTCGCCAAAATCGCTCGAAAAACAGACTGAAATACTTCCCCTTGAATCGAAAATTAGCAGCACGAAACCAAATAGTTACCCTTCAAGTTCACCAAAACAAATCCCACAAAAGTTGGGTTGTCGAGCAACCAACCGGGCGAAAATCTCAAATTGACCGCCACTTAAACGCCATTTGAATCCGCGTCGGTCAAAACTTGTGCAGTCAAAAGTCCGTTACGACGCGGTCGGCCTGGACCTTAGCAAAATTAGGCCCAACGGGTAGCCCCACGATATGAATGATTAGTCAGAAATAAATACCAACCCACACGTGGACATTTAAATATCACGTCCTTTAAATGCTACAATCTCATTGGTCACAGTTGACAATAGCCATTTAGCAAAATATTCCCTGCAGTGGTAGGAGGTTGTGGTAGTGGTAGTGGTAGTGGTAGTGGTAGTGGTAGGACGTTAAGCTGAAACACAGCAAAACGGCCTCAAATCGCGACAAGAACAGCACAGACTACTCTGTACGAAGGTAAGACTTTATTTCTTTGATTATTTCACACAACTTGATATTTACGGAGCTCAAAAGCGAGTCCAACTAAACCACTATACAAACTCTATAATAATCCACTGTGAAAGAGCCCGTGAGAGAGCCTGTGAGAGAGCCTGTGAGAGAGCCTGTGAGAGAGCCTGTGAGAGAGCCTGGGCTACCTGTGATGTTACATACAAATAAATAAATGAATAAAATGATCCGGTCAATTATGGTAATAGGACTATATGGAGTTCAATTCGGTCTGTAGCCCCGCAAGCGATCAACCAGATTGAACAAACGCGAGGTAGGAAGCCGATTTGTTAATAATTCTAACGAACATGATCACTATCCCATTTGGACGACACGAAGTCCTGTTACCAATGGACAAGAACCATAAAACTTTCCGAAAAAATCAAAATGTATTCGCTGAAAGAAGGGCTTGGAATTCCAATATTCAAACGGTTAATCATTACATAGATTGACAAAAAACACTGAAAAGCTCGAGAAAACAGCTTTCTGGAGTACGGAAATCACTGGTCAAGCTTGGGATGGTAGGCCATTGCTATGGTAACTGTTATTAATTCAGTGATTGGGGATTCCTTTAAGTATAATAAATGTGATTGCCTGACGTAACAATCTAATAACAGGTGTCCAATTAAAACAAACTGTTTGATGATACAGTTCGATCAGAACTCAACAGAATTGTTATTATAAGTCAGTCCATCCACCAATTACAATCGAGGAAACTGTTTTTCATGGTTATAATTAACATCGAGATCGTTTTGTTGTAACTGCATCGTAGACTTTAACTTTCTTTTTTTCAGGTGTATGCTGCCAATGCCTGTTCTGTTGTCCCTTTTTGGTGATATTCTTGTCCATACTTGCTGCAATCCTGCATTTCCTGTATTGGTATTTGTACGTTTGATAGCGGCAAACAATCTTTGTAGCAGCTGTAGTATATTACAAACACTGGCTGGTGTCAGTGACTCTGATGCAACTCCCAAATCACTTTCACCGAAAGTATGAATTTCATGACCAATCGGTTCATCAGGAAATAAACTGCTGGTAGTTAGAGAACTAACAATTAGCCGAATTTAGTGAACAACGTATAGCTGATGAGGAGTAGAAATAAGCTTATTATATACGCTCCTGAAGCCGGAGAGTCTTAATGTCCACCATTAATAAATACTCAAGTATGTGTTCGTTAGTGTCCCTCATATGCATCGACGGATGTGAAATTACGTTTGAGGTAAACTGCTTAACCTTAACTCCGACGAGTGACCAAGACAGAGTTTCTTCTTACAATGTTAGTACAATATCTAGTAGACAAGTGATGAGAATAAAGAAATTATCACTTAGAGGATTATTAATTGATCCGATATCAAATTCTCCGAATTGCATCATAAGTAGTGTATGGAATGCCGTAATGAGAATCACTAATGAGATCTTGAATGAATGAACTTTATTTATTGTCGATAGCGTGGGGATAGCAAAGGGCTCATGTATAAAACGCTCGACCAAAGGAAATATAAATTGAATAACAGATAAATATCAATATGAGATATAAAAGTTCATTAAACTATATACAATAAAAATTGATATAAAAGTTAAAAAAAAAAGAAAAAAAGCTACAAGATACAGCTCTGACATTGACATGCTTTATACTCTACCTTTTTGATTAATGATTTGAAATGCTGGACGGTATATTGTAGGAGCTGATTTGGTAGACAAAGGCAATTTATTCCACACATGGGCAATAAAGTAAGAAAAAGAATTATGCATAAAACGATTATTATAAGATGGTTGAGAGACGTTTAATCCACTACCTCGTAGGTTGTAGTTGGTAACCCTAGGCTTAAAAAAATTAGATATATAGTTAGGGCCGTGCATCCTAAAACTTTGGAAAAAGACAGTGAGCGAATGTTCGATACGTCTTTGCTCAAGTGAGGCCATTGAGGCAGTAGATAGACAAGATCTTGGGAGGGAAAGGGTAAAAAAAAATATCCCAAAGAATAAGCAAACCCAAGCTGTGCCGTCAGTGAAACCTTGCCTGAGATTGAAACGTTAATTATGCCATCAGTTCGCGAATGGCTTTAATCCTAAAATGTAAGTCGTCAACTATACTACTATATGATAGCGTGATGCGCTTCGATTTAAAAATATCCAGCAGCTGACAAACATGTATATTTATATATATAAAGTGTGACTTGATTTTCGTAGAACAGTGCTCAATACATAGAAGTAGAGCGAAGTATATATTGTGGGAGGAAAAAGACAAGTAAACTACAAGTTCATCCCTACAAGCCTGTTTCGTGGTCGCCCACTCATCAGGGGATTTAATGAGAAATAATAAGTAAATAGGCGTTGCCTTTGATGGCAGATATATTTTATTTACAAGACTCGTGATTGACATAATTCCGTACAGTGATTTGAAAGTGTTAGCTTATCATGTTTTAAACAAGTTTTCAGAAGAATCAATAAGAGAGAGAAGTAGGTTTTTATAATCTGTTCGCTTACCTGAATTTGCAAACCTGAAGAGAGAAACCTGTTTTTACGACCCGCCACAGAAGTAAGTTTCCCATCGCGTTTTTTTAATTTTGCCACGATATTAAGACTTTATTTACGTTTTTTCTCAGTGTCGAATTAGGAACGTCACGTTCTCTTAGATCGAATAATAATTAAAGCTTGGATAATATTATACGGTTTGTGGTGTTCGTCTGAGCTGACCAGTTCCGAGTAATACATATATGTATATATTTATTTGGTATAATTTCAGAGCTGAGCAAAGAGTTTTCAGCAATCTGATTAGTCGAGAGGTTCCTTATATGATGCTATATAAACCGCTCCACGCGGTTTATATAAAATGTTAAAATAAAATGTTAATAAATGTTACTAAAATGTTATGATTTTAGAAATTTCTCTGTTGTTCAGCTCTGAAATTATACTAAAACAATTATTCGCCTCAGGTTCGGTGAAGATTGTCGAATAATCCCCTCGACTTCGTCGAAATTATCCATGTCAGTACCAAAGAAAATGTATAAAGAAGAATATGGAGAATATAAATACTGATGTCAAGGTAAAGGGTTAAAGTTACTGTCAAGGACAACACGGCTCTCTTTTAGAGGTTGGTGATAAAGAAATGAGCTATGGGTTTAAAAGAAATACTGAATTATCGAAGCAAATTTTATAGCTCTCTTACTTAAATTGAGCTTCTTTTCCGCGATAACCCTTAAAGAAAATAATTCTTTCCCCCGGCTAAACGTCTCATGCAAACTGCATTCGAAAGGGAAGGTCACAATAAAGTGATGAGCTTACTCTGTATTTGTGAGATTGGTGAGATGTAAGTGAGATGTAATTAAAGTCATTGCAAAAAAGAAGTCTAAAAAAAACATGATAATTTGACTTTATAAACTGAGTTGATAATATAAATTGGCCATCGTTAAGAGTTTTTAAACCTGGCGTTTTCGAGCGTTAGCCCTTTATCATTCGCTCTTACGGAGGCCTAACGCTCAGAACTTCAGCTAAGAAACCCTTTACGAAGGCCAATGTATATTATCAACTCATTTGATAAAACCAAATTACCTGGTTATACCTCCCTACTGACGCAGCCCCTCAGTTTTTTTAGAAATTTACCTTCTTTAAAAAGACATAGATTCAATAAAAAAAAGTGTAGAAATGGGTTTTGGGGGATTGCGTGATCCCAAATTAACAACGACAAAAAAATTCAAAATCGTTCAACTGGAAATGACACCCATCTGTCATCAGGGGTTCTTATAAACAAAGAACTTTTGAAGTTGCGTCTAATTTAGGGCAATGGTAAGGCTGGCAACCTTTCAAGGAGCTGGTTGCTTAGTAACACAGCCTTGTCCCAAGTTGAAGGCAACCTTGTAATGGAGAGTTTGTGTAGCTTCGTCTGCCTCCTAATAGGAAGAGAAGTATGAGCTCTTCCAGTCCTTATTTCACCCATTCTGACACACTGGTTTAGGAAAATTAAAGGACGAACTAGAAAAAGACAATGCACAGCGGACAAGTTGGCGTCCAAGAATGTCAAGAAGCTGCTACGGATCAAAGGTTGTATTACGACTATAAAAGCTATTTCCTTTTATTGCGTTTCTTTTAATTACTTTCGATCATTAATCAAAATTTAGAATGCTTTTATCTGATGCAGTCAAGTAGAAAGGATCCTTGAATCGGGGATGTCTTTCCGAGAGGAGCTTTTATTCAATACTAGGCAAAAAAAGTTCGATTCCAAGATAAGCGGAAGTAATTATTCGGCTTCACTGATACAAATAATTGACCACCAGTTCAGCGACGAACACAATTATTATTCATCGCAAATACAAATAAATCGTCGTGAAAATTTTGATTTGGTTTTCTCGTTCTGCGAACTTTGCAGTTTGAATTTGGATATACAAATTAACAGTGTGGTTACAACGCACGTCAACACGAGACGTTTATTTGTACCTCGATCGCATCTGATCTTGGTGATTTGAAAAATAAAACTGCTTTTAATGGCATTGGATCAGTAACGAGCTGGTCAAAGCTTTTACTTCCTAATTACAACCGAGATAGAAAGAAAACCTGGAGAGCATATACTGATGTTATTTAAATTCCAATTGGCGTACATACGTACATAAACATGGAAGGACTTTGGGAATTCGCGCTTCGGATACTCATATAACTAAGCTAAGATATTGAGGTTGCGACTTCTTCATTTCATTGACCTAAATCATAGTGGTTTTCCTGACTTGAACATTGCCCAAACTAAAATCTCAGCTTGTGCAGATATCCAGGTTGAGTTTATGCCGTCTGAAAAGAAGACAAAGTTAGTTACCTGGCGGCCAAATATTGCATAAGGGTCAAATGAAGAAAACACTTATTTGTATGGAATCGTGACAGTAAAATTTAAACTTCTACCTGATCAACATCAGATGTTAAACGGCTACTAAGATTCTAATAACTTTAGAACGTATGTTCAGCCTAAAATAAAACGTTCTCATGTGAAAGTAGTGCAGTTTGATTCGAGAGAAAAGCTCCAAGGTGGGTGGGATAGGCCTAAAAAAAAAAAAAAAATAGATAAAAATGATGGTGGTTAAGAATTGAGTCCGCTACAGGAATATTAACGACAAACTTGAAAGAGAAGGCATTTTTTTGTTTTAAATATACACAAACCGTGTTGTGGTTCTTCCTTAGTAATTTTGATAATAAGCAATCGAGTTTTTTTAATTTGACCAGAATCACCCATTCAGGAGTGGAAGCATGGGCCGCCAGCCCGATAACAGTAGTTGTTGAGTCACCCGTCTTCCGTCTACAGCGGCCCCCATCTACCTGTTACCAGCCTGAGGTACGGAAAAAAAGCTGGTCCAACTGTCTTGAGGATTTTTGCTGCAAGTATGACATTCACTCCGATTGGTACGACTTTAAAGGAAAAGGTATTTTCTATTGATGACCGCTTATCACTGACTGAACAATGTTGTCTTGGTAGAGAGAATTTCATTTGACTGCCTTGAACTCCAACCAAAACTAAAACTTGAGTCAATGCCGAAACCCTGTGTAAAAACAATTTCGCAACTGTATAAAGCGTGGGAGAACGCGACCAAGCTTCTATTCAATTTGGATTTACATCTATTTGTTAAGAGGTTGAAAAGCGTTTTACGGTATACAAAATTAGTATAATCCCTGATTGCTATTAACGCCTATTTGAAAACCACTCTTAGAAGTTAAGTTAGCTTAGTTATTTGTATCCATTAAACATGTTAGAGTCCGCACCATGAAACGGAAACAAATCACTCTTTTCTCTTTTACATTTTTTCTTCTGATTGTTCGGAGACCTGTCGATTTACCACCTTTCATTTACAAATAGTATTTTTAAAGGTAAGTCACGCCTAGGATTTAGCATTGTTGGTTTGGGAATAGAATGGCTTTAAATCTCTATCTTGTTGTAAGCTTGCATATGAAGGCAAGCCACTCAGGCTTCACCATTTGTCATGGTTAGGCTAAGAAATCATATTAGCACACCATGCAAGATTTGAGTGACGTTCCAGCTTAACAACACTTGTTTTTTGATAGGTTCCCTGGGTAATTCATTGACTTGAGTGTATAATCACCAAAATTTGGAATATAGGATAGATTTAACTTCTTCCCTGTTCAAAGTGGATATCATTTGTTGTCGGAATACCCTATCAGCCCGAGATTTTATCTGGGTCTGCACCTCGAGTAAAATTGAACTCCTTTGGCGGTAGTGTTGAGATCAAAACCTTAACTACAACACTTAAGTATGCGTTTACAGTTTTTTTTCAGCAAACGCCCGCACATCACTGATAGCGATTCTCATTTGTTGAGTTATCAACATACCGCACCGAAATTCAGCATACTAAAAATGCTTTTTTTTCCCTTCATTTTAGGTTTTTGGTATGTCCTTTTCCTCTTGCTTATGTACTTAATTGTGTTCGTCATTGTGGTCGCAGTTTTGGTTGTAGCTGGTACTTGCTATATCTTATGTAAATTTTGTGAGTCAAGTGAGTCCACGAGTAGAGAACAAAGGCCGTCCAGCGGAGGTACAGTGTGCATCCCAATCCCATTATTTGAAGAGTAGTTTAAAGCGGATCTAATCAAACGTGAACTTCGAACAAGATATTAGTGTAAAATATTCCCTTAATCGTTGGATTAGGAACATTGCTATAAGGCCATCCCCACACAAAATGTTTACTTGACCATTACAGCCCTGAAAATTAGATATGAACGAATTCTATTTAACAAAAACTCTTTATCGCATGTTTTATACTAAATCGTGAATATGAATCTGAATATTGTCGGATAATGTAGTTGACTTTCATTTTTAGTCAGCAGAGGAACGAAATTCTACGGGGATGGCCCTAATAAGCGAAATAGCATAACCTGTGATGATAAGTTAGCAGAGAGTATATACCAAAGATTTCAGAAGCGTCGTAGTTCATAGTTGTGAAATATTTACAATAACATCTGGACAATGTTCAATAAATTTTCATATATGCTGTCCTCTTTATTAGTTTTCCATTAAATGGGTTTTAATGAAAACTCATGAACTTTAAAATATGTCTCAATCCTAAAAAATATATATTTGTTACTGTAATGTGTGAAACTATATCGTAAAATCATAAACTCGTTCCATCGATCAAGATCTCCCCGGTCGCCAAACTAGAACCTAGCCTGCAGGCAGGCTCTTATTGTTTCTTCGACAGGAGTGGTAAAAACTGCAGCTCCTGACTCTCATTTCCCGTTCCAGACTCTCACGGATCTCTCGCACACTCCCCGGTTCGCTCTTTGTGTTTCGTCACTCGTGTCGTAGCGCTTACAAGAGCCTGCTCTCAGTCAAGGAAAGAACACGGGTGACCATATATATAGATAGCGATCGCAGCAATAGTTCTGGCCACTCAAGATATACAAGCAAGGATTGTTTCAATCAGAGGTGCAAGAGACGGGTATGAGCACTCACGGGTATTAGCAAGCTTACCAAAAAGTCGAGAGTAGAAATGAGTCAAGACTTCCGCTTAGTTTAACTGGTAAAATGTTTTGATATAACTTTACTCTGATAAGTTCTGCAGCGCAGGTACAACTGTAAATCTGCTATTCGTTAACAGGTATGAGATCTAATTTCCTCTTCAACCATTATAAATGAACGGAGAGTTGTTTTCGTCTGTAAGCAAATGCAGTGGTTTAATAGGAGTCAGTTTAGGTGACTTTATGACCGAGTCGTAATCAGTTAGCCCTTGCCCTGCAGCAACAACCTCTGTCTTCTTTTCCAATGGAACTTCATCAATAATGGTCTGCTCTTCTTCAATTAAAGCCACTACAGCCTGCGGGTTGGCGTTCATTTCCAAGTTGAATCGTTAAGGTGTTGTTTCCCAAAAGAGGCGGTAACAAATTGGTCTAATATTGTCACATTTGATGTGGTTCTGATAAGGCAATTCCGTACTGATTAATTAGGATGGAGTTTAGAACATGCGGGGAAACCTCAAAAATATTTATGTTAAAATGTTGTTTACGGTTTAGTTTTCGCATTGTTGAATTTAATGTCTACTGACCATTTTCTGAGGTTCAATATTTTATTTTTCTACCTAAGTACAGAATCTATAGTTGAGTAGTGCTTTTAATGTTAATTCTAACATTGAATCTCTTGAGATAGTAGTTGTATATTTGGAAAAGTTTTCTACAAATAACGCGCCCGTGCTTGACTCAGGAGAGTGAAACTCGAAGATAAGGAATCCCAATTTGTATAGATTAAAACTTTCGGAGAGAACGCTCTAGACCAATTGGTTCAATCTAAATTCTGCTCCGTAGATAGACCACTGATGAACTGTAGTGCTTAGTTATCTGAGGTGTTGCAACCACAAAGGCGTGCCAGGACACAGGACACCAAGTATATTGCCAAAATGATCACTCCACCGATCAAGTAACCCAAAAGGAGTAACAGGACAATGCAGGCACCTGAAAAATAATGAAGAAAATTAGAGCTATGAAACCTAATCAATTAAGAATCTGTTTTAAGCCTAAAAATTCCGGCTTCTCCCTCCCAACGCATGGCTTAGCAGTTTAGTCAGTGGTGGCGCCCAACTAGTATCTAGGAAACAAGGATTCGCATCCCATCGAAGCTTGAAGTTTTTCAGACTCCTTTCTGCAAATGCTCAAATTTCTGTTCATCATCGAGGATCACGCATCTTCTTTTGAATCTTTGTAGAAATCCAAACAGTCAGTTCTGCGCCACAACTGTGAGTTTCAATGAATCCTGACTAGTGAGGCTCTGAAAACATTTGAATACCTACCTTTCCCTCTTAAGCTGTACCACTCGTAGCCGCTTTCACACTTGAAACAAGTGTCTATGCAGCCGTCATCTGGAGGTGGTCGAGAATCTACTACAATCACTCCAGGTGGAGGTAGTGCTGGAGATGATCTGCAAGAGACCAAATTGAAATGTCGTTTCCCTTTTTGTTCTTCTACCATTTTGGATGTGACGTCAAATCTTTTCAAAATCTTTGTGACACTTTGTAGATCTTCTCTTCCGCACAGACTCTAATCACATGGTGTACGTAACCGCTTAACGTTCTTCCATGATACTATATAACAATATACGAACAGAACTTACCTGGCCTGAACAATTGGAGGAGTGCTGAAAAGGAAAAAAAAAAAGAAATTCAAAACACTTTAAAGAGGCAAAACGAAATTCTCTTGATCAGAAACTGTAATATGTACATGACGTGTATTACATTCCTTGAACAATGCAACACTTTTTCATTTAGAAGATTAGCCATCAAGATACTTTTGTTTGACAAGAGAGATAAATAGAAAGCAAATGCTTCGAGATCATTGTAGAATAAGCTTTATAGAGGAGGTCTGAACAATTTTCATTATTTCGATTATCATTATCATTTCTTATATGAGCACGATCCTTCGCAGTAAAGCACTATTTGAGCAATAGTGAAAATCAGACCTGAAAAAATTTCAGGCCTGTACGGGATTCGAACCACTGACCTCTGCGATACTAGTGTAGCGCTCTACCAATTGAGCTAACAAGCCAACTGGGAGCAGGCCATCAAATTAATTCGACATAAACCCGTAGATGATAAATCAAACAACAACAAACATATGAAACATATGTGTGAACTGCGGTTATGAGACGTATATGAGCACGATCCTTCGCAGTAAAGCACTATTTGAGCAATAGTGAAAATCAGACCTGAAAAAAATTTCAGGCCTGTACGGGATTCGAACCACTGACCTCTGCGATACTAGTGCAGCGCTCTACCAATTGAGCTAACAAGCCAACTGGGAGCAGGCCATCAAATTAATTCGACATAAACCCGTAGATGATAAATCAAACAACAACAAACATATGAAACATATGTGTGAACTGCGGTTATGNTGTACGGTATCGCAGAGGTCAGTGGTTCGAATCCCGTACAGGCCTGAAATTTTTTTCAGGTCTGATTTTCACTATTGCTCAAATAGTGCTTTACTGCGAAGGATCGTGCTCATATACGTCTCATAACCGCAGTTCACACATATGTTTCATATGTTTGTTGTTGTTTGATTTATCATCTACGGGTTTATGTCGAATTAATTTGATGGCCTGCTCCCAGTTGGCTTGTTAGCTCAATTGGTAGAGCGCTGCACTAGTATCGCAGAGGTCAGTGGTTCGAATCCCGTACAGGCCTGAAATTTTTTTCAGGTCTGATTTTCACTATTGCTCAAATAGTGCTTTACTGCGAAGGATCGTGCTCATATACGTCTCATAACCGCAGTTCACACATATGTTTCATATGTTTGTTGTTGTTTGATTATCATTTCTATCATCGTTTTTGTCATAATAATGTTTTTAGACATTTTAATAATAAGTAATAATAATAATAATAAGTAATAAGTAATGGTAATAGGAGTAAGTGGAGTCCAATTCGGTCTATAATCTTAATCCTGGGAGTGATAACTATGAAGGTAGATCCTGGACAAAATGTTCGATTCGTCGTTTCGTTATGGCGTTTCGTCGCTTCGTTATGTCGAGTCGCTGTTTTCCGAGTTCGACTCGTCGAACTTTCAGTTCGTTTCGTCGTATTGTCAGTTCGATTTGTCGGCTGGCCTCTTCGACTCGTCGTTTTACGAGTCCGACTCGTCATCGACCACATCGGTTCGTCATTTTGTCGTTTCGTCATTTCGTCATGGCGTTTCGTCGTTTCGTTATGTCGTTTCGTCGTTTCGACTTGTCGACAGGACTATAATTCAACTTAAATTACATGAAGAGTTACTTGATTCCATATACTCTTACATGAATCATTAATGTGGTATCTATAATTTGCCCTCTGCCGAAGGAAATGGATCTTTAGAATAGCAGAAGCGTCCGAGTTATTTCGAAAAACATATTTTCATCTAAAAGTTAATGAATCACTTGGGCGAGCACCCTGGAGTAATTATCGCTGGAGTCTATCTTTTTCTCGAGGGTAGGAGGGTCAAGGGTTTCTTGTTGAGGGTCGAGGGTAACTTTTTTTCCCCTTTTTATAAAATTAATTGGGAAAATTAAACCGAATTTGACTAAAATAGTTGAAAATAACTGAAGAGGAAAACTAATTTTTAAAGATATAGAGTGCAAGTGGACCCCTTTACTTTTACCCCAGAGTGCAAGGGAACTCTTTACTGTTCCTTAGTAAGGTCTAACCTTGAATACTGCTCTGAGATATGGTCCCCATATTTGCGTAAGAACACTGATAAGCTTGAAGGAGTCCAGAGACACGCCTCTAAATTTACTTCGAAAACTAAGGATAGCTATATAGCTCGTCTTGAGAAGTTAAATCTATTATCTTTGGAAGACAGAAGAGTTTTAATTGACATAACTTTCGTTTTTAAGGCACTGAAAGGGTTTGTTGACATTGATGTTTCATCTTTTGTGGATTATTACTCTAATTAAATTATTGTTCCTTGCAAAAATATGCAAGGGCTAATTCCCTTAAATATTCCTATTTCCATCGAATAGCAGTTTCTTGGAATATGTTGCCTGTTGACATTCGCACTGCAAATTGCACTGGGAATTTTAAATTTAATGTGAATAAATTTCTTGCGGGTAAATCATGATTTTATTTGTCTTTATTATAACATAGTATCTCATTCGTACTGTATGTTTTGGGTGATCTGCTGTTACATGGGGTCTGGGACTCTTTTGCATATTCTCCCTATGGCTTTTTTAAAATTATTTTTTGGTTAATTAACTGTATCATACCTACATTTGTGTATTTATGCCGTTAAATTGCAATAAATAAAATAAATAAATAAATTAGCTCTTTTTAAAGGTTGAAATCACCCCAAAAAGTAGCAAGTAGGGAAGGGGTGAGATAGTGAATAGCATGTGGCCAGTTCGTTTTCAAAACCTAATTACTTTTCAAAGAATTAAATTAAGAGCCCACAGAAAGCTCATATTCGATCATAAATCTGGTTAAATTTCATGTGTTACTGTAACATCATGGAGCGAAGAAATGAGATATATACACAGCTAAAAA